CCCCCCCCCCCCCCCCCCCCCCCCCCCCCCCCGCCGCCCCCCCCCCCCCCCCCGCCGATGCCGGCCAAGGGGGAGGCCCGCCCCCCCCCCGAGGGGGCCAGCTGCGACCCCGGCCCCCCCGCCGCCGCCCCCCCCGGCTCTCCCTGCCGGCCCCCCCCGCCCGCGGACCCCCTGGACACCCGCATCGTCATGGGGGAGGAGACCCGCTGCCCCCCCCCCGAGCCCCGGGGGGGCCCCCCCGTGCCTTGCCCCTTCCCCGCGCCCCCCAAGGAGCCCCCCCCGGGCCGCCCCCCCGCGCTGGACCCCGAGCTGTTCTTCACGGCCCCCTCGACGCCGGTGCGGGCGGGGGGGGCCCGGCCCCCCCCCGAGGAGCCGACGGACGGGGACAGCGAGGGGCTGTGCTCGCCCCCCACCTCCCCCTCGGGCTCCTACATGACGGCCGAGGGCGGCAGCTGGGGCTCCTCGGGCACCGCCAGCACCTCCCCGTCCTGCTCCCCCAACCTGGCGGCCGAGGCCGAAGGCCTGGGGGAGCCCGAGGGGGACCCCGAGGGCCTGGGGGGGGCCCTGCTGCTGCCCCCCGGCCTGGGGGACCCCCCGGCCTTCCCCCCGCTGTCCCCCGAGGAGGAGGATGAGGAGGACGAGGACGGTTCCTTTGCCCCCCCGGGCTGCGAGGAGGATGAGGATGAGGATGACGAGGACGGGCAGACGCCGGAGGAGGACGAAGACGAGGATGAGGACGAGGTGTCGGGGCTGATCCCGGCGGCGCTGCTCCCGTTCCGGGGCAGCCTCCTGTTCCAGGCCGAGGCCGTGGAGATCTCCCCCCGCGCCCCCCCCGGGGACGGGCAGGAGGAGGAGGACGAGGAGGACGAAGGCAGCACCTCGGCCTCGTTCCTGCGCTCGCTGTCCGAGAGCTCCATCCCCGAGGGGGGGGACGAGGCCTTCGCCTTCCGCGACGACACCGACGCCTCGTCCGACTCGGCCGCCTACGACGGGGACGAGGACGAGCGGCTCTACGGCACCGAGCGCCACGCGGGGGGCACGGGCACCCCCCCGGGCACCCCCCCGGGCACCCCCCCGGGCACCCCCCCGGGCACCCCCCCGGGCACCCCCACG